GAAAGTGCTCTCAGCTCGCGGTGCGAGCGCGTCCTATCCCAGGGCAGCGGCGCTCAGCCGCGCGGCGCCGCCTCCCAAGGTGTTTTCACTGAGCCCGCCCCCGGGGACGACCCTCCACCCCCGTGCGTCCAGGTACCTGTCCCAGCCCCCGGGCCGGTCGTCTGACCACTCGAAAAGCCCCTCCCCGTCCCCGTGGGCTCCCCAAAGCTCGTACCCGCAGCCCAACCCCCCGTCCGTTCGCCCTTCGCGGATGGAGGTCACCCAGCCAGGCAGCTGGAAGCGTGCGCTCAGCCGACCAGCTGGGACGAGACGACCGCCGCCCAGAGCCCGCAGTCACAAGTCCGCATCCCTGCCCATCTCCTCTGGGGTCGGCTCCGCTTCCTCCTAGGAGGCTCGACGGCTCCTCCCAGCCCGGGACAGCGCCGACAGACCCTGCCGCCTCGCATCCTGCGTCCCAGGACACTATTCTTTTTGGGAGGAGGTGTGGCGTGCCCCCAGGCGGGTCTAGACCTCGTAGCAAGCATTCTAGGAGGCCCAGTTGCAAACCCAGAGGGAGGAAAGAACCAACGTGGGGCTCCAGTGAGCTTCCCCCGCCTAGGGGGCCCTCCGATTTCCCTCCGTCTACAGACCCCGCCGGGGCTTTGTAGAAAATGGAGGAGGCGCCGCCTAGAAAGTAGGTCCCGCAGGGGGCAGATTGGGCTGAGCGTTCAGGCTAGGCAAGATCCTGGGTGGAGGCCGGCACCCCCTACTGGCCTGGGATAAGAGGGGTCCTGGCAGAGGAAAAGTGGGCTAAGTCACGCATTCACCACATATTCATTGGGCGGCTGTCATGTGTAAGGCACTGCTCTTCTTGGGACTCCAGCCAATGCAAAAGATTAGGCCCTGCCTTTGTGGAGTTTACAGCCTAACAGGGACCTAATGCGGGAAGTCTCCATGAGCCGGTGCTTGGGAGAAAAACAAATGGTGGTGTTCTGTAGCTGAAATGAGGGGCCAGGGAAAGCTCTTTGCGCAACTGACACCTAAGCAGAGATACAATTAAAGTGAGAGGATGAGTTGTGTGATTTGTTGGAGAAAAACCTGGCACTGTAGGAAGACCAAGAAGGCCAGTATCATTCATTCATCATGCATTCAATGCGCTGAAGCTAGGGTGTGAGCTAACGATATAGGCTTGGCTTTCCAGAAGCTTAGGGAAGGAAGACGCACAATCCGTTTTTCGAATGTGACAAGAGGAGATACATAGTGTGGGAGAGGTCTCTGCGGGCTCTGTAGGGACGTGAAGGACCATCAGGAAGGCTTCACAGAAGAGGTGCCATTTGGGTTCGATCTTGAGGGCTGTGTTCAACAGGCTGAGAAAGAGAAAGGCCATTCTAGGAAGGAGAGAATTGCAGCTGTGAGAATAAGATGAGACAGCAAGCTTGTTGGGAAGATTGGTCCATCTTGAGGTGGGGACTGAAGGCATTCTTTCTCCTAGCCTTGACCAGCTGCAGGGCTGGGCTGCCCCGCTCCCTGCCTGAGCCCTGCCAGGTTGACACTAAAGCCGAACTCAATGACACAACTTGCAGAGACCCTCCACAGGTAAACCGAGGCCCAGGGAGGTTGAACAACTTGCTCAGCATCATACAGCAGATGAGGGCCAAACTGTCAGCCTGAAGCGGGGTGTGTTACTCCTCCTGCCACCTCCCCAAGCCGCCTCCCCATGAACCCCTGCCCCACAAACTCAGCATCTCAGGCAAAGTTGGCTGGAACTGGGCGTGAGTGTGAGAAGCAGAGTTATTTCAGCCTCAGCAGGGCTGAGTGCGGCTTTGGAGTCCAGCCAGGGGTGGGGGTGACTGTAGGCGGGTGTTGTGGTTAATGTGGGGGTGCACTGCGCCCGCCTTCTTGTCAGGCAGTAATTACTCAGACTGCTGAGTAACTCGGGCAGGGAGACCCCCCACAGACAGATGGAGGTGTTCTTGGACCAAGTTGATTGGCAGCCCCCAATGTTTTTGCACTGCAGGGTCTTGGGGGACATGCTCACATCTGTCCTTGATGTCTAGTTGGCCTGGACACCACCTGGTTTCTTTTGGGGGGCTGGGGCAGCTCATTCAGCACAGAGGCTGTAGTAGTGCAATGTTATAAGACAATGGGGACCTTCCATTATCAAGCACCTCTACCTCTGCCGCCCCCACCTCTACCTCAGAAAAAGCCCCAGCAGGGTGCCGCTAGGGAGAAGCCACTGCTCTGCGGAAGCCAATCTTTTTCCCTCTTGGAACTTAAAGCTGCACCCAGAACCAGAGCTGCCCACAGGCTGGACCTTCGTGTTGTAAAGGGGGAGAAGCTGGACTGAGGGGATCCCTAGAATTGATATCCTGCGCCCTGGGGATCCAGAGAAACTGAGGAAGATGGGAAGTTCAGGCTGGACTCTCATCAAGGTGAGAGGTGTGTTCTTGGAGCCATGTTGGCCACATCCCTGTTCAAAGTGGTGACTGTCGGAAGAGCATGAGTCGGTGGTCGGAGGGGCAGAACACTGACCCCTTTTGGTCCTCCTCTTGGCTGCTCACGGCCAGCCTGCCCAGCCAGCCCTCCTCTCTGGGCAGCCTCCCAGGCAGGGCCAGTCCCCCGCTGCTTGTTTTTCACTTCTCTCTGCACCTTAATTAGGAGTTTCCAAGCCGGGAGGGCCTCCAGGGGAGCCTGAGGCCACAGAGCTGTCTTAAAGGGCCAGCTGTGTTCACATCACCACTGCAGAGAGGGGAAGATGGTACCAGAAGGCTGTGTGGGCAAATGGCTCTGGGGAACCATTGCTCTATGGGGCAGACCTTGCTGAAGGCCAGTCTTGAAGGTACTTTGCTCTTTCAAAGGTCCGCGCTGTCTCACTGGCTGCTCTGCCTTCTCTTTGGGATCCCAGGAGCTCAGCCACGAGCAGGAGAATCTACCATAAGCCTAAGGGGCAGCCTGGGCAGGGAAAACGTGGGCCAGAATCCAGAATCTGCGTCCTTGGACTGCCCCATCCTCACAGGAAGCACATCAGGCTCAGGACCTTCTCCTGGTAGCATTTCTTCACCTGTGACCCCTCCACACTGTGGGTTCTAAAGGTGAGAAGGGCCCTAGCTGGTTTGGCTCAGTGGCTAGAGCGTCAGCCTGTGGACTAAAGGGTCTTGGGTTCGATTCCGGTCAAGGGCACGTGCCCGGGTTTGGGGCTTCATCCCCAGTGTGGGGCGTGCAGGAGGCAGCCAATCAATGATTCTCTCTCATCACTGATGTTTCTATCTCCCTCTCCCTCTCCCTTCCTCTCTGAAATCTATCTATATATATGAAAGGCACCCCACCCAGGCGCTCTGGAAATCGGCACCAAGACTCAATTTGGAGCTGGGCACAGAGTTCTGCGCTCTGGAAATCGGCATCAAGGCTCAATTTGGAGCTGGGCACAGAGTTCTGTCCTGTGCGGCAGCGGGGTCCTCCGAGGTAGGGAATGTGGCCCCACCTACACGCGTCCACTGCCTTTACCAGGGCGGGTGGAGCAGAAGGAAGCCCTGGTGGTGTCCCCGTTCACAGATCGGCCCGCAGAACTCGGGCAGGGAGTGGGCAGATAGGGGAGGGAGCCCTGCCCCGGGAGTGCCAGGTTCGGGTCCGCAGGGAGAGTGCAGCGCTGCGGCCCGGGGCCACTAGGGGCTCCCGCGAGCCCCGACCTTGCGGGCAGAGCCGGGCCCACAGCGGCCCCGCCCCTTCCTTCTCCTCCAGGGCCCCGCCCAGCCAGGCCCCGCCCCTCGCCGCCGCTCGGCGAGCGATCGCCCCGCCTGCGCGCTCCGCGATCCTCTAGCGCTGCCTTTTCGGTCCCCACGTGGGCGGGCCGGCGATGGCGGCGCTGGTGGCCTCCGAGGCGGCCGGGCCGGGCGGCCGGAACGGCCCCGGCAGAGGTGGGTGCTTATGACAATGCGGCCTCTGGACCTCGCGTCCCCGGGTAGGGCTCCCCAAGTCAGAGACGGGACCAGCCCCCTTTCTTCGCCAGACCTGGGAGGCCCGCCGTCACTCGCTCTCGGCCGCTGTCACCGGAGCCCAGGGGTGCTCGTGTGGCCTTCGGGCGCGATCGTGAGCAGCCCCTCCCGGGAGCGTGTGGTCCTGAAGCCAGAAACTGCCCTCCGCGTGGCCGGCAGGCAGGGGCGTGAAGAAGGAAGACTCACGGGAAAGACGGACCTGGCTGGGAGCGGGGAGCCCGGCGCCTTGCAGCGGGCCTTCCCCGGGGGTCGCAGGGAACGCTTGCAAGGAAGGGGCTCGTGGTTTCACCCACCAGGCACTTACTGAGCGCCCACTGAATACCAGGCCTGTGCCAGGTGCAGGGACTAGCCGCGGGGACCTCGATCTTCCCGTGAACACTGACGTAAACGGGAGAGTTAGCCACGTGCTAAAGGGGGCGGCGGCTGCTGGTCCTTGGGACTAACTGAGCTGCTAAGAGTACCAGCTCCTGCACCTCAACAACCACAAGGGACTCGGGCCCAGGAGCACGGGGCTGGTTGCTCCAAGGCCTTTGACACGACTGAACAAAACCCTAGTGGTGACATTCACATCTGGCCTCGGGGCCCCGATGGGCCATGCTAGTTCCCCAATTCACCACCACCCCACCCACCAGGCCTGGGAGAATCCCACCTATCAGAGCAAAGGGCCCTCACGGAAGTTCCGGCACAGATTGTACAGACTCAGCCAGTGTTCACTGATTTACTTAACTGCTCGCCTTATTACGTTCCGAACTGTCTGGCTCCTAAACTGAATTGTGGGGACGAGGATGCGGATTAAGGGCTTCAGCTTTGCTAAGGGGTGGCAGTGTTTTCTCCTTTAATCAGGGCGTTGTAATTATTTGTATGCCTACATTTGCCCCCACTAGACTACTGTCCCCTAAAGATCGAGGCCACCTTTCTGCCCTTAAACCTACTTGCCCACAGTCCTGTCTAGAGTATGTTGTTTCCATTCTTCGTGGGGTGGAACAATGGGACCAGGGAACTTGCTAAGTCAGTTAAACGTATGGTGTTGATTTGCCTTTTAAATGAGGAGAAGGAAGAGTGCAGGAATTAACCAGTGTAGACGTAATGAGTGTACTCAAGTAAGGAAGGCAATCTTTTTAAAAATATTTTTTTTATTGATTTCAGAGAGGATAAGAGAGGGAGAGAGAGATAGAAACATCAATGATGAGAGAGAATCATTGACTGACTGCCTCCTGCACACCCCATACTGGGGATCAAGCTGGCAACCTGGGCATGGGCCCTGACCCGGAACCGAACCGTGACCTCCTGGTTCACAGGTTGACGCTCAACCACTGGGCCACGCCGGCTGGGCAGGAAGGCAGTCTTTTACATTAGAATTTGTAACAGTTGTGCTGGTTCTAGATCTCTTATCTAGGACCTCAGAACTTCAAGGTGTTCTCAGGTTGGGGGAGGAGGCACATTTTCCCAGAATTCTTGGGCTGCCATGGCTCCTGGATTTTCTTCAGGGCTGTTCTCTATCAAGGAGCAGCTGTATGGACTTTTTTCCCATTTGCCCCTCAATTCAGTCCCCCGGTGTCACCTCTGCTCTCCTGAGGTAAGGGGTGAACTGTACCCCATTCATGGCTCAAGTCTTTGATTCCCAATAATCTCACAACATGGAAATGAATTGTGCAGGTTTCCTCCTGGCTGGAGTTTGCTTTCCAGCAGCTGCAGGATGAACTCAGTGGGGAAGATGGCTGGGCGAGCCCCAAGGGGTCTGGGATCTGGGACTGAAACTTCGGTGGAGCTAACAGCTTAGCTGAGTCTGGCTGTGCGATTGGCCAGGTACTGACGCAGGCCCTACATTAATCCTAGGTCGAGTCCCTCGGGGCCGCTTGGCCAATCAGATACCCCCTGAGATCCTGAACAACCCCCAGCTGCAGGCAGCTATTCAAGTCCTGCCTTCCAACTATAACTTTGAGATCCCCAAGACCATCTGGAGGGTCCAGCAGGCCCAAGCCAAGAAGGGTAAGCTGCCAAGCTTTGAGCTGGGGTGGGGGTGGAGCGGTTGCCTGGCCTCTACCTACCCATCCTCTGCTCTCATGTGTCTGCGTTGTCTTGCAGTGGCCCTGCAAATGCCGGAAGGCCTTCTCCTCTTCGCCTGCACCATTGTGGATATCTTGGAAAGGTGAGGTTTGGGGTACAGGAGAGGGAGCTGAGCCAAGACCCCATGGCCATTACAGCTTTGCCTGTTGACATGATTCTTTCCTTCTGGACCTCTGCCTTACAACCATGCACATACAAAGGGAAAAACCCAAAATTAAGACAGAGCAGTTGGTGGGGCCTAAGGAGAAACCTAAGACTCCTCAAAGCTGACCCCGGAACGGGCTGAGTCGACGGCTCTGGGTCTGGCCAAGGGGAACCTTTATTTCTGGCACATCTTGGGGAATAGGGGAAGGAGGGGCTTAGTGGGGAGAAGTGCCTTAGAGATGGTATTCATTTCCTCTACTCCTTTCCTCTAAGTTTCTTCAATACAATGAGCCATCCTTGGGCGGAAGGGGTGAGTGCTCAGCCATCTGGAACCCACACAGGAACAGGGAGGGAGAACGGAGAAAGGGGAGGTCATCTCGTGATGGCAGGTCCCACTTCCCTGCTGCTGCCCTCCCCCCACCCTGCTCCTAAGCCCGCTGCCACGGACTCCCTTCCCTACTCCCATCCTCTTGCCCCCTAGGGATGCTCTCTGGGGCTTGGGCCAATTTGCATACATTTTAATCTATAAAAAATTAAGTGCTCAGGCTGACTCAGATGCCTGGGCTGCATTCTAAGGAGCTGAATAATCTGCTTTTGTGCACAACTGATTTGGGGATGGGGATGGGGATGGGGAGGGAGGCGGGAGGGGCTGCCTGGCAGCAGTTCAGCTTTCCCCACCACGCCCCCAGGAGAGAAATGGAGTGACCTCAGTCACTGCACCAGAATGCCTGCCCCAGGGCTGGGTCTCTCAGGGAAGAGCTGGCCCTCTGCTCCATTCCTGTAGTGAATTCAGGGGGGTGAAGGGTCTTCCCACCCACCCCCGACCCACAGTGATTCAGGCCTGGCAGCAGATCTGGCAATGTGCTGGCCGGAGCCCACTCTTCCTGACACATGGGGCGTGTGGGCAGTGCCATGTGCTATGGGGGAGCTATGCATGGGTCCCCCCATCCTGGGCACAGAGGGCCCTGATTAAGGGTGAGGATTAGCAGGGGGTCTGGGCATCAGGGAGGCTGTGTGTGCCCACATATGCATGCCCACGCACCCCACAGTGCCAGGACTTGGGGGCAGGTGCCTTTGCATGTGTGCACATGCTCACTGCTCTGGGTGGGAAGCGTCAGGAGGTCTGTGTTTGCTTGACCCTGTGCCTGCCAGTCTGAGATTTGGGGGTCCCTCTTGCAGTCTGAGCCCGAGCAGAGGCATCAAGGTGCTACAGAGACCATCCCCATACAGCTATAGTTCCAGGAGCTGCTGCCAGGGCTGGAGGAGGTGGCAGCTGGGCCCCTCCTACTCTTTGTTGGCAGCAGTGGCAGCTGCCTACCCAGGGAATTGGGTGAGGCGGAGAGGGAGGCGCTGGGCCCTGAGATCCTTGCACAGGGTTAGGTCTCTCTGCCACCTCGCTCCTTGGACCACTGTGCCACTGTTGTCCATCCCCACAGGTTCACAGAGGCCGAAGTGATGGTGATGGGTGATGTGACCTACGGGGCTTGCTGTGTGGATGACTTTACTGCAAGGGCCCTGGGAGCTGACTTCCTGGTGCACTATGGCCACAGCTGCCTGGGTATGGCAGACCGGGACACCTGGACCCTGGCAGGGCTGGTAGGGAGGCAGGATTGCTCGCTGATTTCCACCACAGCGCCTGGTCCTGCTTGCAGGCATGCGGTCCCTCCTGGTTTCTGGGATGGCCTCAGCCTTCCTGCTCTGCAGGTGGATCTTTCCTTTGGATTTGGTTGCCTTGGAAACCATGCTGCTGTCCCAGATACGGGTGTTTGAAAGGCTGTTGGTATAACAGGCTGCCCCTTTACCCCTGCGCCCCGCCCCCCCCAAGTGACCAAGGAGGAGCCTCTAACAGACCTGTGACGCCCCCCTCCCCCACCACTTCCTTCTATCCCCAGCTTGAAGCCACTGGCTTCTCAGAGACATTGGCCTGGGCCAGGCCTTCTGCCTTCCAAACCACAGTCTCCTGAACTCTTCCCTCCTCCCAGTTCCCATGGACACCTCTGCCCAAGACTTCCGGGTGTTGTATGTCTTTGTGGACATCCGGATAGACACTGCCCACCTACTGGACTCTATCCGCCGCACCTTTCCCCCAGCCAGTGCCCTGGCCCTGGTCAGCACCATACAGTTTGTGTCAACCTTGCAGGTAAGTGGACAGACAGCGGCCAGTCTCTAAGCTATTCTTAGGTCCCCGTGCCAGGTGCTGAGGCTGGTACTCTGGCCCTGGCTCTCCCTCCCCATCCACTTGCTTTCCTTCTCTTGTTTTCCCTACAGGCAGTTGCCCAGGAGCTGAAAGCTGAGTATCGCATGAGTGTCCCACAGTGTAAGCCCCTGTCCCCTGGGGAGATTCTGGGCTGCACATCACCCTACCTGCCCAAAGAGGTGGAGGCTGTTATGTAAGTGAAAAATGGGGGTGTCAAATTTACAGACATAAGAAATGTGCCCTGGGAGTCTAAAACTCCTTAACTATTTGCTCAAGGTCACCTGCAAGACGGGGTCCAAATGGGGTTTCAGATTTCCTGTCTCCCTCACCAGCGCCCTTGTCCACTGTCCGGAAGGCTATGCTCAGGGTGGGGCAGGAATCAGAGGGCCTGATGGGGGGTGAGGGTGGGCTAGAAATGGTGGGACTATAATTGGAGAAGATGGATGGGTATACCCAGGCTGTAGCCCCATTAATTTAGCATCCGGACAGCTAACAAGTAGGAGCGGCGTGTCTCCTGCTGCCTAATTATTTTAGGTAATGGAAATGCTTAATGTTGTGTGAATGCAGCCAACCTCAGAGCTGACGGCTCCTGGCTGGGACTGGGAGGGGAGCCCCGCTCCTAGCTAATGGCAGGAAAGGAGGCAGGGGCACCCCCCTGACTTAGCCCACCTTTGGGGCTGCAGATTCTGGTTCCACGGGTCTTGCTGTGCTCACACAGACACCCCTGCCCATAGACACCCCGGTCCATAGACACCCCGGCCCATAGACACCCCTGCCCATAGACACCCCTGCCCATAGATACCCCAGCCCATAGACACCCCGGCCCATAGACACCCCTACCCATAGACATCCCTGCCCACTGCCAGCCCAGACCTGGTGGTCCTGCTTCCCAAGCGGCATTTCCCTTGTGCCTCTGTCTGCATAACTGAGCTCACAGATGCCTACCCTTGGGGCCTTTGACGTGTGTGTTGGGGGGAGGGAAACCCTGAGTGTTGGCCATTCCTCAGAATTCGGTGTGGTCTCCCAGAGAAGGCGCTGCCATGGCAGATTTTCTTCCTTGCTTTGGCCTCTTCGTGTTCTGTGAAGGTACTGTTAGAGATAGCATCTCCCAGGGCATGCTGGGTACAGCCTCCTGATGGTTAGGCCTAGAGTTGAGCCCTGGATATACTGCTCCATAGATGTGTGACTTGGGCAAGTTCCTTTTTTTTTTCTTTAATCTTCACCTGAGAATATTTTTCCATTGATTTTTTTAGAGAGAGTGGAAGAGAGGGAAAGACAGAGAGAAATATCGATATGAGAGAAACATTGATTGGTTGCTCCTGCACGCGCCCTGACCAGGGCCGGGGCCTGGGAGGAGCCTGCAACCCAGGTATGTGCCCTTGACTGGAATCGAACCTGGGACCCTTAGGTCCACAGGCTGAAGTTCTTCTATCCACTGAGCCAAACCACCTAGGGCTTTTAAGTATGTTTTTATTGATTTGAGAGAGAGAGGAAGGAAGAGGGGGGGAGAGAGAGAAAAACATTGATTGGCTGCCTCCTGCACACCCCTATTGGGGATCGAGCCCACAACCTGGGCATGTGCCCTGACTAGGAATCAAACCAACTGGCAATCTTTTGGTGCACGGGACAACCAACTGAGCCACACTGACCAGGGGTGGGCAAGTTTCTTACCATCCCTGAACCTCAGTTGTATCTTGTAAAATGGGGACAGTATAGGTAGCTTAGAGGATTATTCGATAGGTCTGAGTGAAGTCATCCATGCCAGGTGCTCGCCCAGGCCCAGTGCACAGCAGGCACGAGTCCAATAAACAGTAGCTATTGTTACAACTCAGGAGCTGGACCCAGGAGTTAGTTAGGGCAGAGAGTAGCCAGTGTGTACCCGGAACCTCATTTACAGCTTAGATGACACCCTGAACATTACTCCCTTGTCTGTACTGAGAGAGGGAGAATCTGTCCCCTGCCCAACCCCCTCCAAGTGAGGATCTCTACAGCCTGGAGCAGCCTTACCTGGCCTCAGCTGTGCCTTTACCCCCAGAAGGTTGGGGGCGTTCTTAGCTTCTGCATCATGTAACTAGAGGGGCTTTACGGTCATCCAGTTCAAGCTCCTTTTTCACAAGTAAGAAAACCAAAACCTCAGGAGGTGAAATGACTTGTTGCAGTTCACATACAGCCAGGAGGCACGGCCAGCCAAGAACACAGTCCTCTGTACCCCAAGCCAGTGCCTGCTGCTTCTGTGCCCCACCACACTTACCACCGCCCCGTTTTGACCCCCCTGCAGATATCTTGGAGATGGCCGCTTCCATCTGGAGTCTGTCATGATTGCCAACCCCGATGTCCCTGCTTACCGGTATGGGCTGACCTGGACCAACCAGATGGGGAGAGGGTGGGATTCTCTGCCACTGAGGCCCTCAATCAGCCAAATCCTCTTTTTCTGGCCCTTTAGCAGCCGCCAGCCCTAAAGATATGAGGTACTTGGGTCCTGAATCTAATATCAAACCTAGTGCTGCTGCTGCACAGTACCTACCCGTCCCTGGGATTCACATGGGCATCCTAAAACCCGCTCCCACTCCTGCCTGCCCCACTGTGGGACTGGTCTTCCCAGTGACAATCCATGCTCTTGCCTCTGTTCCTAATAACCTGCATGGAACCTGAAGGTTCAGGAGACCAAGGGGCTGAGTCAGGGAGCTGTGTGTACAGCCCAAGTCCCACAAGTGGCTGTCATTGTGACCCTGGCAGCTTCTTTTCCAGATATGATCCATACAGCAAAGTCCTATCCAGAGAGCACTATGACCATCAGCGAATGCAGACTAACCGCCAAGAAGCCATAGCCACTGCCCGCTCAGCTAAATCCTGGGGCCTTATCCTGGGCACTTTGGGCCGTCAGGGCAGCCCCAAGATTCTGGAGGTCAGAGGGCTTGGGATGGCCTCTGGGGAAGGGACTGACTGGGAAACCATCAGGCAGTGGGAAAAATCAGTAGGCCAAAGAATTTAGCCTTGGCAGCTTGATCATGACGACTCCAGCTCTGCCTTCCTCTACCAACAGCACCTGGAATCCAGGCTGCAAGCCTTGGGACTTCCCTTCGTGAGGCTGCTGCTCTCCGAGATCTTCCCCAGCAAGCTCAGTCTGCTTCCACAGGTGGACGTGTAAGTTTCTCCTCCTTATCTAGCTACGACTGGCTAGCGAAGTTTAGAATTTGGGTCCTGCCTAGCACATACGGAGGGCTGGAGTCAATAGGAATTGCTTCCATGATCATGAAATTCTAATGTTTACAGAGCACTCATCCAGCAGGGGCTGCTCTAGATCACACATATTTTGTCTGTCTTGGGGCTGACAAGCAACTGCACCTTCACAGTGGTTCTGTATGAGATGACATTGGCATCTGCATTGTACCAGGCACTAAACTTGATTCTGGGAATACTGTCACAAAGGAGTTGCCCACGTACTGTTCTCAGAAAGCGTGTAGTCGGGGAAGGAAACAAGACAAGCAACACTACAGTATTATTCTAAACAGCAGTACGTTACCATCTTCACTTTAGAATTCATAATAAGCATTCATTGGGCGTGTTGGGGACACAGTCCTGTTCTTCACCTGCTGCCCAGGAGAGGGGAAGACCTCCCTCGGGTCTGATCCGACTTCCCTTCCCAGGTGGGTACAGGTGGCATGTCCACGCCTCTCCATTGACTGGGGCACAGCCTTCCCCAAGCCGCTGCTGACACCGTATGAGGTAACACTAACATTTGGGGGAGTGGACTTTGCACCTGGTTCTGTCAGGGAGGGATCTGAAGTGGAGGGGGGCAGGCGGGCAGTACTTGCTAGTAGTTACAGCTGAGCCACTTCCTAGCTGAGTGGCCTTGGGCAAGTCTCTTAACCTCTTTGAGCCTGACATTCCCTCTGTGTTACATTGACAACAGGATCTCTAGGCCACTGTGAGGATGAAATAATCCTGTGCAGAAAAGTGTTGGCAAATGTTTTTGCCCGGTTTTCCTCCTCTAGGCGGCGGTGGCCCTGCGGGACATTTCCTGGCAGCAGCCCTACCCCATGGACTTCTATGCTGGCAGCTCCTTGGGGCCCTGGACGGTGAACCACGGACGAGACCGGCCCTCCCAGGCACCCCGCCGGCCTGCGCTGGGGAAGGTAGGCAGGGACTCCCAAGGAGGGAGGAGTGGTCGCTCCCTAGCGACGCGTGCCGAGGCCGCCGCCATGCGGCCGCTACGGGAAATGCATGCGACGACGTCGCAGAAGTGGGACCCTGACCAAAGTGTGCAACTCAGATGCAGGAGGGATCCGCGCGCCTTTCTCCAGCCGTGACTTGCGAGGGTTGCAGCTGCAGAGACGAGGAAGTGGTGCCACTCGCTCCCTGAGACGCTCCTGAGTCTCAGGTATCCGCCCTGCGTTGGCTGCGCCCCCCCCAAGCCGCCTGGTCTTGAGAACGCTCGCTCGCTCTGAGGCCCGCCTTCAGGGTGTTGCCGGCCTTTTGGCTCCGCCCCTCGCGTAATTCAACTTCCGCTCGGGGAGAGGCCGCTTCCGTCCCCTCTGGCGCGCTGCCCCGCACTATGGCTGCGCCGCAGCCTCTGCGCGTGTTGTGCTTGGCGGGTTTCCGGCAGAGCGAGCGGGGCTTCCGCGAGAAGACGGGAGCGCTGAGGAAGGCGCTGCGGGGCCGCGCCGAGCTTGTGTGCCTCAGCGGCCCGCACCCGATCGTGGACCCAGCGGGCGCCGGGCCGGAGTCCGGTGAGAGGAGTCCTGCCCCGGAAATGCGTTCCGAGTCCTCTATTTTGCCTCGAGTCCTCTCTATCTTGCCTCGTCTCTAAAAACACTTTTCAGCGCACCCCCACTCTATCATTCATTCCTCCCACCCTCCCACTTCATTCTACCCATACCTGTCATTTCTTTCATCCCAGCCTCCCATGTTTACACTTTGATTTGTTCCGCCCGCCCTTCCCTTTGCCAATCAATCTATTCCCAACCTCAGACTTGCTTCTTCCCTGTCATTCCCAAACCCTCCCTTTCTCATTTCTTTCCTCCTGCATCCCCCTTGCCCTAACCCCACCCCATCCCCTTATCTCTGTAGGGTCCTGCCCTCCGGAGGAGCAGCCTCGAGGCTGGTGGTTTTCGGAACAGGGGGCAGACGTTTTCTCCGCGCTGGAAGAGCCCGCGGTGTGCAGAGGTCTGGAAGAAGCCTTGGGGACGGTGGCACAGGCACTGAACGAGCTGGGACCTTTTGATGGGCTCCTTGGTTTCAGCCAGGGGGCAGCGCTAGCAGCCCTTGTGTGTGCCCTTGGCCAAGCAGGCGATCCCCGTTTCCCCTTGCCAAGGGTTTATCATCTTGGTATCTGGTTTCTGTCTTCGGGGCCTTGGCCTCCAGGAATCCGTCCTGCAGGGTCCCTTGTCGCTGCCTTCACTCCATGTTTTTGGGGACACTGACCGTGTCATCCCCTCTCAGGAGAGTATGCAACTAGCTAGCCGATTCACTGGATCCACCACTCTCACCCACTCTGGTGGCCACTTCATTCCAGCAGCTGCACCACAGCGCCAGGCCTACCTCAAGTTCTTGGACCAGTTTGCAGAGTGAAAGATCAACACATGCCTGGGTCCCTGTATCCTCCTTCTCACCCCAGTGGGGACACTGACTTTGGGGCAGCCTCTATGATCCCTGCTCTCCCCTTGTCCCTACCCTGGGACCTCCACTGCTATTTGTGCTCCTCACCATCACCAAGTAAGACAAATACCAGTTCTTGCTCCCCGGTGTGGCTCAGTGGTTGAGATTTGACCTATGCACCAGATCACAGTTCCATTCCCGGTCTGGGGACATGCCTGGGTTGTAAGCTCAGTCCCGGGGTTGGGGGGAGGGGGGAGGGAGAGGTGGGGGAGAAGCAGCTGATCAATGATTCTCAGTCATCATTGATGTTTCTATGTCTACCTCTCCCTTCCTCTCTGAAATCAATAAAAATATATATTTTTTAAAAAGACAAATATCAGTTCTTAAAACTCAGATTACATAAGCCCAGTTCTGTATTCAAAGAAAATGGGGAGCAGGCAGCCTTAGTGGACGTTGACCTTGGCATCTGATACTCAAACATGGAAAAGGCTAGTGGAGCCCTGAATGGAGGGTAACATGGGAAAAGTAGGGGCTGGTACCACTGTCTTCCACGCAAAGTGGTGATTTGAATTTGAGCATCTTTTTCCTGATACAGAAAACAAAACAAAACCATTTTATAACAAATCTCCACGTCCACAGAGCCTCCAGGGCAGCACCAAGGAAGGCGGTGTTTCCAGTTCACCCCCGGGAGTAGCTCTTGCGTGTGTGGGCACAGACACATTTTTGCTGGAAGTCTTAAGTCCCAAGCTGAAGGAAAGGAGGTCTGAGCTGAATCGGGAGAATTTATATCAGAAGTTCTGGGAAGAGAGGACCTGACAAGGCTCTGCCTGGACCATCCTGAGTTGAGGCTTCCTCCATCCTGGTCCCTGAGAGTTGTGTGCTGGCCTTTTGTTGAACCCTGGCTTCTTGTGTTCTCTGCTGTCTCCATAACTTCCTTAGCTCCTCTGAGCTATGAGTTCAAAGGGTGGGATGGTGAGAAACCTTGGATTGAGGCCAAAGACAGCACAGAAGAAACTCCTTTCTGAACTTGCCCCTATTTGCCATTTCTGAGATTGATGCTACACTGTAGTGATCACAGCCAAGCCTAAGCAGCCCATCTGGTTTGCAGTTGTTTCTAGGCACTCTCAAGCCCGCCCACTGTAGCCAGTTCCCCTACTTCCTGCGCCCCGCCTCTGCCCTCACTGCTCTCTGACTTCAGTTCTATCTCTGCAGGCTCAACAACTTGTTGCTTTTCTAGAAGATCATAACGGAACCTATCTATCCCTCTAGCATGGTTGCCCCCCAGGGACTTAAATAATGGGCCAGAAATACTCCAGTCCATCCTAAGACAACTAGACTAATAGTTCTTAAATTACCAAAAATTCTGAGTTCGGCACTATAGCTAGCAGCTGTCCAAGATATTTTTCTTTTTAAGAACTGGAGTTACCTGCCTGGACAGACCCAGTTTACTGGTTTAGGACCTTTGCTGCCGGAAGTGGGTGTGGGGAGAAAGTTCTTAGCTCAGTCTACCTCTGCCTTGCTCATGGTTTTTAAACGTGAAGACTCTGAAATGGACTGAATTACTCCTACAGGCCTGTTGGATTTGGCCCATGGCATTTTAGAAAAAAAAAAAAAAAAAGGATTTGTGATATTTGAAATTTTAGGAATTTCACACAAAAATTCAGATTTCTGACTTCTCTGGAAATAAGCAGTTCAAAATGGAATGCAGTGGCTCTGCAGTTCAGGGCTCTCGAGCCCTCCTGGCAATCACAGGCTGCCCATTTCAGCAAGGTCCCAAGGGGTGAACATGATGGCTTGTGTACCACAGCTACTGCCACTGGATTATTGTGAAGATAAAAGTAGAGAGGGGAAGATATGATGGGGAATGAGTTTTAAGCCAGGGCTAAAGTTAGAAGGGTGAAGGCAGAGCAGAGCAGTATTAGGTACAGCAGAAGTGCTCATGCTTGAGATGAGAATTTCCCCCGAAAATCACAAAATCACCCAGACGAGAACAGATCATGTGGTCCACTGGTTCCAGCAAGTGACATATGTCACCTGGCATCATGTTGCATCGGCATTATGTTAAAACTTGGGATTGCCCAGCCGGCATGGCTCAGTGGTTGAGTGTCTACCCATGAACCAGGAGATCAGGGTTCGATCCAGGTCAGGGCACATGCCCAGTTTGTGGCGCATCCCCAATAGGGGGTGTGCAGGAGGCAGCTGATCAATGATTATCTCATTATTGATGTTTCTCTCCTCCCTTCCTCTCTCTGAAATCAATAAAAATATATTTTAAAAAACAACAACAACTTGGATTTCTGGAGCCAAACTCCAGATCCAAATCTTCAATCACTGGGACCCAGGAATCTGCATTTCGACAAGCTATCCCTGATCATTTCCATGCAACGTCATATTTTAAAGCTGTTTAGAGAGAATGTTAAGTCTCTGTTAATATGTGTTATTTGATAAAAGCCCATGTGATTCTCATGCTCTCTATTAGGGAGGGGGAGCCAGCTCTCAAGAATCATTGATTTAACATTTTTTAACTTATAACTAAGGAAAATGAGATTCAGAGGGTAGAAAGGGGAATACCATTTATTGAGTGCTAACTATGCCAAACGGGGTCAGTAGAGCTTTATAGTTGCCTAATTTTTTAAAATATATTTTGATTTTTCACAGAGAGGAAGGGAGAGGGATAGAGAGTTAGAAACATCGATGAGAGAGAAACATCGATCAGCTGCCTCCTGCACACTCCCCACCGGGGATGGGCCCGCAACCAAGGTACATGCCCCCAATCGGAATCGAACCCAGAACCCTTCAGTCCACAGGCCAACGCTCTATCCACTGAGCCAAACTGGTCAGAGCGTTGCCTAATTTAATCTCACAACTTCATGAGGTAGATACTATTAACCTAATTTTACAACCGAGGAAACAGGCATGGAGAGGCTAAATAACTTACCCAAAGTTGGTTCGGATCCAAGAACTCACATTCTTGGCCACTGCTTCCTCAGCAGTCCTATAGAAGGTGAGCAGAGGCCACCACTCACTCCTTTTGAGCTAAATGCCCTGTCTGGGCCTCACCTTCCTAATCCATAAAATAAGCTGGGGTGGGTGCATTCAATGATTTCCAAGACACTGAGAAGCTCCACATTGTACACAGTCTTCTGGCTATTTTCCTCCTCTGACCACCTTCTCTAAATGGGTTCCAACTGCAAAAGACTCGGTCTCTTCTTTTCAGAATACCCCTACATTTCTCCTTCTTCACTCCACTTTAGATTCCTAAAGCAAATAGAAGAGAGTCCCTTAGCAAAGAACCTCTCGACAATCCCAGTCTCAGAGATCTCTTAGAGAGATGCCCCCCCCCTGCTCCCCGCTGCGCCCTCTCCTGTTCATTTTGCCCAACTGCCCAGGGCTGGGTTCTCCCCAACACCACCATGCCCTGATAAAGATATAGTAGCCTAATAGAATAGTACTTAAAAACAAAATAGCATTCTGCAGTTCTTAAAGGTTTTTACTTACATGATCCTGTTTGGTCCTCACATCAAACTTGCCCAAAAGAAGAATTGTCCCATTTCACAGAATGCTCAGAAACCACATGGTCCTGTAACAGCCAGTGGAGGATGCTTGGGATGCTTCTCTGTGCGTTGCTCCCACCTGCATACACTACATCTGCCCATGGATGCCCACTGGATTCCAGAATTGAGTGCATTTTAATGTAAGACCTCAGGGTCCTTAGGTGGGAGGAAGGCAGCATGTGGGCATTGATTAGCTATGAAATCAGCACCAGTTGTCTTAGAAGTTTAGAAAAGGAGGGGGTATGGAAGAGTAAAGAAAAACTGGGTTCATGGATGGCAGGGCTGGGTTGCAGTGACCATTCCCAACACTATCCGTAGGAAAATTCTGCACCCAATATGCAATAGCCCCTGCAGTAGGTGGTGGTGGCTGCAGGTGACGTGTTGTTGTTTTAAATACGGAACGCTTCATGAACTTGCGTGTCATCCTTGCCCAGGGGCCATGCTAATCGTCTCTGTATCGTTCCACTTTCAGTATATGTGCTGCCCAAGCGAGCACGCAGGTGACGTTTTCAAAGAGGCCATTGCACACACTTCACTGGCACAATAGGACTTCAGCCCCTCTGATTCACTCCCCCTCTTTAGGGCTAATTTGAGATACTGTTTCAAATTGGAATCCAGCACTTAGACTGAGGGGAGGATGTTGATATGTTCAGACAATGCTTTAGGGACCTGGTTAACTTCACAAACCCACTGGCGTTCCGGAAGGTTGGCAACCTCTCTTAGCAGGAGTGAGGGGAGGTTGCAACGCCATCAGAAAATGAGTTCAAGAATTACTCATGGCCCTCTGCCTACTCAGCTAAGGGTTCCTGGAAGAGTGAGATGGTGGTGCATTTGGGCAAACTTTCCTGTGTAACCACTTCAGTCCACAGGAGGCAAACATTTCTTCTTGCATCCAGGTCCCAGCAGCCTCCGTCCCACTGAGGAGATTTAAAAAACAACAACCAAATATCATAACTACCGCCCTTCTCGCCATCCCCTGGCTGCAATACCTTGGCGGAAGCACGGCAATTAAACCCGGGAGTAGCCCGCCTGCCTGCGCCAAACCTCTCGCCACCCCCGCAGACACCTCGACTCTTGACTCGCTGCCCCCGCTTCCTCCTGCTCTCGGCCTCCCCCTGGCTGGGGCAGCAGTGAGCCGCGCGGGGTGGCGCGGCGCGTGGGCGTGCTGCGGGGCGACCATGGCTGTAGACTGTTACCTCCGGTTCCCACAGTAACAATCGAAAGCCACGGTTGCCCTGGAGACGCGGGGGCGGGGCGCGCGGCCGCTCCAGTCAGGCTGACGTCAGGACCGAGGTGGGGGGGCGGCGGAGGACCCGGCGCCGGACCGCTCCCGGGCCGTGCGATGTGCTTGTGGGCCGGCCGCCCCTCGCAGCCCCTGGGGACCGGGGAAGGGACCGCCCGATGGCCGAGCTCGCGCCGGATCAGCACCGCGGACAGCGGCCGCCCGAGCAGCCAGCTGGGGGCTGAGGACTCTAGGGACAGAGGGCCCCGGGTCCGCGGTCCTGGGGCGGGGCCAGGCGTCGGCGGCCGTGACTGGAGACTGTTACTCGGGGCGCCGGGCAGTAAGCAGTCTGCAGCCAAGGTGCCGGCGCGCTGCCCGGGAGGGGGGGAGGGGAGTGCCTCTGTCGCCCGCAGCTGGGGGCGCTGCTGCTCTTCCTCCCCCGCGTCTCCCGCCTTTCTGGGCTCTGGCGCTAGCGGACAGGCACGCGGCCCTTGACGTCAAAGCCCTGTGACGTCAAACACGTCCCTGTTGAAAGGCACTTCCGGAGGGGGGGTGGTCGGTGGGGTGGAGCGGGGCGGTCCTGCCGAGGCCCCACCCCCGCCCGGTCCTGAGAGAACAGCTCCTCGCGCGAAGGCGAGAGGCTGTCGATGTGCGTGTGGGCTGGCCGACGGGGCGCAGAGGGACGCGGGGGGGCCAGCCCGACGGGTCGGGATGGGGAGGGGGCGCCCCGGTGGGGTGCAGGGCGGGGGTCCTGAGAGAGCCGCAGCGGGTGCCCAGCTTAGCCGGCGGGGGCGGCCAGGCTGAGTCACCGCGCTGCGGGGAGGGAAGGAGGGGGTGCGTCTCCCGAGGCACCAGCATCTTCGCCCCACTTTCCTGGGGGGATGGCGCAGGAGCCCCAGGTAGGACCGCGGGCGCTCTGGGGCCCGTCCTCTGCTCGATGCTCCTCCGAAGAGGCTGCGTCCGCCTCCGGGCGCGGGCAGGTGCTGCACCGGGTTCTGCGTGCGCTCTGCCCGGGCTCCGCCAGCTGCGGGGGAACCCTCGCCCCCCGCCCCATCCCATGTACCTTGTTTGCGGGAACATTCCCAGTGGGAGATGTGTATGAGGCACCTGATCGATGTTTCTCTCTCATC